ATGAAACCAACGAGTTTAGCGAATGCGAATTGGCAAGAGTTTTGTCGAATTTGTGACCTTACACCCAGCCAGTTTTAATCATTTTGGCATTTTTTGGCGCGCGAGTGTCGGTCATTTGTCCTTAGAACGGGGAATCAGTGGAAAGCTTGATTGAAATGTAAATATCACATAACAGAAACCTTTATTACCAACTTTCCCGAGTGTCGTTCATCAGCTGTCCCTAGAAGGGAATCAATGGAAAGCTTGATTGAGATGTAAATATCACATAACAGAAACCTTTATTACCAACTTTTACAAGTGTCGGTCATCTGTCCCTAGAAGGGAATCAATGGAAAGCTTGATTGAAATGTAGATATCACATAACAGAAACCTTTATTACCAACTTTCGCGAGTGTCGGTCATCTGTCCCTAGAAGGGAATCAATGAAAAGCTTGATTGAGATGTAAATATCACATAACAGAAACCTTCATTCCCAACTTTTGCGAGTGTCGGTCATCTGTCCCTAGAAGGGAATCAATGGAAAGCTTGATTGAAATGTAGATATCACATAACAGAAACCTTTATTACCAACTTTCGCGAGTGTCGGTCATCTGTCCCTAGAAGGGAATCAATGAAAAGCTTGATTGAGATGTAAATATCACATAACAGAAACCTTCATTCCCAACTTTTGCGAGTGTCGGTCATCTGTCCCTAGAAGGGAATCAATGGAAAGCTTGATTGAAATGTAAATATCACATAACAGAAACCTTTATTCCCAACTTTACGGCGGCAGCTTAGTTACTCTCAAAATAAATTCATTCGGATTTCCTTCAAATATGGCAGTTTGGTTTGTTTGCATCTATTGAGAGTGAAATAGCGCAAGAATTTAAGTCATATATTTTGGTAGNAGTGTCGGTGGAATATCGGTCAAGTGTCAGTGGTCTATCGGCCGAGTGTCGGTAGTCTATCGGTCAAGTGTCTGAACTTTATCGGTAAATATAGTTTGAACGTCGCTCGTGTGGTTGTGTATTGTTGTAGTGTCGGTATTGAAAAATTTGATTTGAGGAAAAATTTGATTTGAAGGCATAAACTTTCACGTATATGATTAAGATAAGAAACGAATTATGAATGGCGTGATGAATTAAAAAAATTTGGGGGTGACTCATTTACTACAACATGAGCCACTCACTAATTGGAGTCCGTTAAGCAAGTAACAATAACGGGAAAGTGAAAATCCTCATAAACGCAAATCCTTGCGTCACCGTCCCACTTTAAGAAAAAGTTAGCACCTATGATAAGACATTCCGAATACCTAATCTCTTTATGGTTTCAATCTGTACTTTTCTCTCGAATATTTTCCCTTTATTTTTAAGGCTTTAGCTTTTTCCTACTCGCCTAACGGGAACTTTACAATGACTAATGATTAATGCGAATCGCAGGGGCGTCACTTCACGGAAATAAACTCTAGCCGAGTGACATACTTTTTAGTTTTTAGTTCACACATGTCTATGGTACAGTCGGAACTGGCTGAATTGCATCTCTTCAAATAGCAAAAATTCTGCGACAGTTAATATTAAACCAATAAAACTTTACTCTGACAAGTAAAATAACCAACAAAAATTTTCTCATCAAAGATTATTTAAATCATTTTGTGTCCAAGAAGCTTGTAAAACAACACACTCGGATAGATTTACTCCGGTGTGGGGGTATCATGGAACCAAGCCTACTTTGAGGGTGGGGGATGATGGTAGCGGAAAGAGACGACCTTTTCTTGCTGTGTGTTGGGTCCCGTACGAATACAATGGTTTAGACTGATTCCCTTAAAGGGGATACTGTTCAGCAATGTCATCGAGCAGCCTTCGAAAGCATCCATTTGGGTGAGGCTCACCATACCACCTTCGCCACGTGAATTCCTGTAGGTATTCAAGGAGAAAGTCAGGGTTTGTGTTTCCCTTCATTTTCTTAAATTTTTCCTTTGCCGTACACCAGTTGCTTTCAGCATTCTGCGTATGGACTCCGGTTACTGGATCAACAAAATGTAGCGAATGCTTCACCGCCCCGTGTTGTAAACCAAGTCTTCTCTGGAGTTGCCGATAAGCCGCCCACTGGTCCGAGTGCACTATGGAGCCAGGTTGAACGTTCCGTTGAATAATACGCTAAAAAGTCGCCGCATTGCGTCGCCTTACGAGCTGTTGGTATGGTCGGGCTGGAGCATAATGTGTGTCAAACAACCTCAATACCCACCTCTCTCTTAGAGGCCGACGCCCCCTGTGAAACTGCAAAGGAATAACAATTACAGCTGTATGAATTAGAATATTATGAAAAGAATCATTGGAAATACGGTAAATTAAAGATGGGAGGGGGCGGAGGTGATACGACGCGCTCCCAAAAATCTTTAGCATCAGGTTAAATGCCTTAGTTTGGCTCTGTAATGAGAGGAAACAATGAGAAATCAAGAATCGAAGGCACTTCACTAATCTTTGTTTATATTTAGTTATAACCGCGTTCAATATCATTATCG